TGTGATTTAAAGTGTTCAACATGTAACAACAAAGAGAGGTGTCTTACTTGTAACACAACGAATTACAAAACAAATGATGGTGACTGTCTTCCACAAAGTAGTATCATTGGTTGTCAAGTCAAAGTGACACAACTCGGATGTTCAAAATGCCAAGAAGGTTATTATCAAATAAACACAAACGAATGTGAAACGTGTGACAAAAATTGCAAGACTTGTTTTTCAACATCAACCAAATGTACTTCATGTGATTCATCACACGTCCTTCTTTCAAGTGGGAGTTGTGTTGGTCTTTCCCAAATTTCTAAGTGCACAGAGATAACGAATTCTCGATGCTCAAAATGTTCATTTTGGAATACACCAAGTGAAGATGGCACTTCATGTGAAACCAAAGCAGTTTGGTGGGCTATCATAATTGTTGTTATAGTGTCTGTCATAATTATTACACTTTCCATAACCGTTATCATATTAACAACTAAGAAAATACTTGACATTGTTCATGGTAACATATCAGACAAAAACAAAACTATATTTTTGATGGAGAAGTCTAACATTGTCTTTTCTAATATTCAAGGCGGAATTTGCATTTCTTCCAATGAAATCAATTTCAACGAGGATTTTGATGAAATTCCAGTTGACGCTGTTACACGCCAAATGATTTCTGTTGGTAACACAAACAAAAACATTGTCAAAATCCAGTTCACTTATTCATCAAAAATTGAAAAGTTTGAACTTGAGGTTGATCCAGTAGTCGTTACTCTTAAAAAGGGATATGCCTGTGAATTTTCAATTTATTTGAAACCACTGTGTACTTGTAAATTTCACAGTACAATCCAAATGATATCAAAAAACATTAAAAGTGGTGAAGAGAAATACAATGAAATTATGATTAAGGGGTTGACTTGTCGGTCCACACGCATCGACTACGAAGAGTTAATAGAAGAGAAGAAACTTGGTGAAGGTTCTTTTGGAATTGTGTATAGAGGAACCTTTCGAGGTAACGATGTAGCAATAAAAGTGATGAAGAGTTCAGCGGATGAGATGGGAGGGATGGAAGAATTTGAGAATGAAGTACAGATGATGGACAAATTTAGAAGTGAGTACGTTGTTCATTTTTATGGAGCTTGTTTTGTACCAAATAAGATATGTATGGTCACTGAATATGCGGAATTTGGGAGTTTGTCGGACTTGATTAAGAAAAAACATACGAGTGATGAAATTGGTATGAAAATGCGAGTAAAAATCATGTTAGACTCCTCCAAGGGAATATTTTATCTTCATGAAAATGGGATATTACACAGAGATATCAAACCAGACAATATCCTCGTCTTTTCACTTGATTTGGATCAGAAAATAAATGGAAAGTTGACTGACTTCGGTTCGTCTCGGAATATCAATTTACTGATGACTAACATGACGTTCACCAAAGGTATTGGTACTCCTGTTTACATGGCACCCGAAGTATTGAAGCAAGAGAGGTATAAACGGTGTGCTGATATATTTTCCTTTGGGGTGACTATGTTTGAAAGTTTTGGGTGGTGCAATGCATACCCTAAAAAAGACTTCACGTACCCATGGAAAATAGCAGAGTTTGTGATCGAAGGAAAACGGCAAAACAAAATGAGTTGTATGAGTGAAAAACAGTATGACTTGATATCAGAATGTTGGGAACATAAGGCGGAAAATCGACCACATTCGGAAGATGTTGTTCATAGCCTCCAATCAATTTATGATTCCTTATAATTTTTTGTTGTTTTTAAATCGCTTTGATTGAAAAACTAGAAAATATATCGGATAATCAATTGCGAATTATTCGTTTTTTATACAATTTTTCTAAATTGTTTGAAAGGATCGTTTCTTTCAAAATGAAACTGTTTTTGTTAAATAAGTGTGGAATTGTCTATTTTTTGCTTATTTTTTTGTTTTTTGTTACGAAAACTCATTAAAAACTTTATAGAAACTTCAAAATACTAAAAATATGATGAAAAGCATTAAAGTATGCGTAGTTGGCGAAGAAGGAGTCGGTAAATCGACTTTGGTATCTTCATTTGTAAATAACGAATACAAGGAGACTACAACCAAATACACCGCTTTAACACAAACGGATAATGGGCTTATGGAAATCAACTTTTGGGTATCTTCAGAAAGGGATTCATATGAAGAACGAATTCAATACTATGTTGACACTGATTGCTTCATACTTTGTTTTGCAATGAACGACCAAAATTCGTTTGACAAAATCCAAAGCATATGGATTCCAGAAATACAACAGAACACGAACAGTCCAGTTTTCTTTCTTGCTGCAACAAAGACGGATTTGAAAGAATCGAAATACCCACAGAAGTTAAATGACATAGTCAATCAGACTTTTGTGTCACGACTTTCTATGCATGTCTTGGGTCGCAAAATCAATGCAATTGGTGTTGTTGAATTCTCTTCTAAAGAGCCTGTTTGTTCATTTATATAATGATGTAACAATGTTATCACACAAATGTTAACGTAACAGGAAAAGGTAGACAACATCTTTAAAATGATAGCAAGTTTTATATTTGGAAAGCGTCAAGATCTTACAATAAAAAAACAATGTGAATTGGGTGTAATAAGCCCAAGAAGCCCACGATTATAATCAATTCATTATTTAACTGACCGACTCATTATGTTGCTCTACAAGTGGTGACCAAAAAACACTAAACACACATATTTAATCGATGTCCCATATCATAATATTAGATACAACACACCTCACATTGACAGACGTCGAAGCAGTGAGACCAACCCACATCTTCTTCCCAAAAATGTTTCGAACATTTTTAGTTCTTAAGATCACCTCTTTGTTCACCCAACACACCACACAGTCCGTCCCAAAAAAGACTGAAATATCACACCGTTCTCCTTTAACCAATTCCTTTGGTATATTCTCTGTTATTCCACACCCATCTTTGTGGTTACTGGATATCCCTTTTTGTCCCTCGGTGAGCATTACACCAATATGCCCAAAGCTCGGGTCGTCCTTCGTTGGACTACTTTTAAAACTAAATTCGACAGCTGTGCCATTCTTGATGCCTTCATACCCAAGTCCATCATAACTCTTACCCAATGCTTCTTCCCCAGAGTTCTGGAGAACTACTGAAAACCCTTCGTACACTACAGCCTCTTGACATATCGTGAATTTGAACATCACTCCTTTCTTCGGTAATATGGAAAACCAAACGGCTGAAGTATCACTCGCCTTTTCAATCAGTGAAAGTCCTTCAGCACACTCTTTACAGTTTCCAACAAGAGACGTGCGTGGTTTAATGAATTGTGCGAGTCGTCGAATCGATTTCATTTCGGGACAGTCACAATACAATAACTGCAAATCGCGCACAGAGAACATTGGAGCATCTATTACTCAGCACTTGTGCATTCCAATGATACATCCTATTAATATAGTATTAAAATATTATAGTACTAATAATATATAATAACAACAAACGATTGTCCGTTCCAAAAGTCACTCCAATATATTTATGTGCACCCAACGCACCCCAGGAGTCTTTCTTAATAACGCAATTGATCAACTCTTCGCCATCCACTATGCATGTGAGTCTTCGGTCTTCAACTTTTACTTTGACTTTATACAACAGAAGGACAGGTAGCTTCGCTATGTTTGTCCCGTTGGTCGGTCTGACATCCAATACCCCTTTGGAACCATCTGAGACGTATACACAATAACTCGGATAGGAAAAGATACTTGGAAGTGAAAGTTGAAACCGAAAGGATACTGCTATCGCGTTTTTAATGCCGGCAGCACCCTTCCCTTTACCATCAGTACCGAGCGCATCCCTCCCCTCGGATTGGATCACTATCGCAAACCCACCATTGGTAATAACACTCGCACAAATTGTAGCACTCAAGAAGAAGTCGTCCTCTTTGAGGTCCATCCACAACGCACCATTACGAGAGTTTGTGCGCGCGAGAGTGTACTCCCCCAAATTTCTCGAGATAAGTCCACCCTTAGTTGTAATATCAGGTGTGTCGATCGTTGAAAATTGGGTCTTTATTTCCTTCTTTGGTCCTTTTTTATCGGACTTACTTCCACGGTGGTGAAATATAGCATGCATTCTATGATTTAAAAAGTTCTATTATTCTTCATTCCCATCACCATTTATATTTTTAAATTTGTTTTAACTTCTTCATAAACCCCATCTGTTCAGAGTTTTTTTGTGAAAAAATCGGGCATTATGCTATTTATCCTTTTAAAATAACGTTTTCTAAAATAAAGAAATAATTTAAAAATAGATATAATTATTTTTACTAATTATTGGGTAGTGTTTTTGTATTTTTTTGGTGGAATAAAAACAGTTCATTTTGTTTGTTTGTGAAGTTCTATTTAATGTTTAACTTAAATAGAAATAAAATACAATTTCATTAATTTAAATATAAATTTAATAAATGTACTATTACTTTGAAGTATATCAAATATTTTTTATTTCTTTTTCCATTTTTTGTAATACAAAAATTATTAATTAGTATTTTTTGATTTTTAATTAATAAATTATTTTTTTATTCAAAATAATTAACGAGTGATTTTATTTTAAAACTAAATAATTTATTAGTATTTATTATATATATTAATAATAAAATAATTAAGTTATTTAAATTAATCGTTAATTAAATAATTATATTAAATCATAACTATATTTTTCTATTAAATGATCATCATATTATGAATTATTAATAATTATGATATTATTTTTATTATTATTATTTATAATACATAACTATATTTATATTTACAATTTAATAGTATTTTTTTATTAATAATTAAATTATTAATATAAATACAATTCTATAAATACAATTTTTGTTTTTAATTTAAAAATATGAAAATGAAATAATACACATTTATAATACTAAAATGTATTTAACTAAAAAGTAATAACATTACTAATGAAAAATTACAAAAAAACAAATTACTAAAGTTTTATTATTTAATAATTTAACTAGTAAAAATCATTAGAATGCTTTCTCGAATTGTTTGGTGTTCTTCACCATCTGTATAAGAGGCGCAAGCTTTTGTGATAAATCAGCATACTTCATTTTAATGATAGCAGCAAACAGAGGGCATGCAGCAGTCGCCAAAGCTTCTTTGTGTGAATTCACAGCATTTCCAGTCACATCCCTTGCGATGCTTTCGATGATATCGAGGATCAACTCCTCATATTCCAAAAAGAGGGTGTTGTTCTTGTTTAACACTGTAATGATCATCGAGAAGGCATTCAACTGTAAATCGCGTGCTCTATCTTTCTTCATGTCTTTTGCGAGGTTATCGACTATTGCAAGGAACATCTCCTTCTCGTCGAACCACTCGAAGTAATAGTTGAGAAGACCATTAACACATTGGTACACTGTGTTTCGCGAAGACACCCCAATATCATCAGTATATGACAACGTCCCAAATTTGACGATTGAGACGTAACGAGGATCACATTGCATTTGTGGGACAATAGCAGAGACTATTAAAGTGATATAAGGCTCGACTTCTGTTGTTTTCGATTGGACCAACACATTGATTACAGAGTATACTGCGCGTTTGACAAATCGGTTGTAGTTATTCAAGTTGTCGACTATCAATTGGATATATTGGATGATGTACTTAATGTGTTGTTCATCAACACTGGATGGTATACAATTGACCAACGCGTTGTCTTTGTTTGACTCAGAGTCATTATATATTTCATCTTTTTCTTTCACTTGAAGTTCGAAGGCTTCAAGACTTTGTTTGTCTTTAGGAAGTGGTGGTAAGTGACCTATAGACTCTTGGGACTTCCGTTGTAACGCGTCGAATAAGACGGGGAATAATTCCTCTGGCTTTCTCTTCACTAAATAACAAAGACATTCGTTGATAGTACTTTGACATGCATTGTTTGTTCGAATAGCAACTAAGTCATTGAACAATTGAGTCACTTTACTGTCTTCTATATTTGACAATGAATTTTTCAAAGCAATTGCCACATTGAGTGGGTTTTGTTTTTCGTTCTTAAATAACTCCAGTAACAAGTCGACGTTCTCAATTTTACCTAAAGTGAATATTGAGGCTTGACTGATATAGACGGAGGGGTCATCTAATTTAGTAGCAAACAGATTTAAAATCTTCTGGTCGTCGATTTTCTTGTTTTCTTTTAAAAACGCAAAAGTGTAGATGTATGCGACACTAATGAAAAAGTCGGGGGACTTCTCATTGAAGTTCTTTGCTGATATCATTTTGGTGTACTTCTTTGTAAACGACTCAACATCGATATTTGTTGAAGCCGACATTGCACCAATTACCATGAAATTGATAACAAGAGGGACTTTCCCTTTTTCGAATGACATAATTTTGGACTCTATCTTTTTGTCGAACTTCGAGAGCGTTGCGATGAAATTAGTGAGTGGTGTTATAAGTATGTCTGTGGCATTTTGTGACTTCGCGGCTGCTAAAACGTGTTCGAACAACTTTGTTATCACAATCTTTGCATTTTCCTTTGATGAAAGTGTCGAAGTAATTAATTCGATTGTTTTTGTTACAACATGTGGGTCTTTGTTCTCCAAGAAAGTGGCGAGTGTTGGTGATAATTGCGTGAATAGCTTTTTATCGATTTGTGTGATTGAAACAACAACCTTTGCTGCAGACAATAAAGACAACAAGGTTTTAGGGTTTTCAGAGTCTTGCGCCAAAAGGGTCGCCAGAACTTCATGTGGACTTTTGATACCTTTTGCTAACGTATTTGAGAACGCGGCTATTACATCCATTGCAGCGTTCTTTAAAACGACATTCGACCCTTTGATATGTGGTAACATCAAATTCATCAGATTCTCTGCGTCTAAAGTCTCGTCTTTGAACTTCGAGAGTATAATCCTTAAACAAATCAAAGCATTTTGAATGTTAATTTCCACCTTTTCAGATGCAGTAAACTCAAGAAGTCTATTCACCGCATCACTAATTTTGGTCGACTTCGCGAAAGCAGTTTCGACTGAGTAAAACAATGAAAGAAGGATGTTCAGACTAAAACTGACATTATTCCCCGACTTCAACATTTCTAAAGCACTAATTAACATAAATACGTCAAAGTCAAATGCATTGGGAATCGATACAATCAAATTGACCAATTCAAAGAGTTGATTGTTCTTATCAATTGGTTGTTGAAACGCATTTTTAAAGTAGCTTTCGTGTTTCTTGATTGCACTGACAAGTGTTTTACTATCGATTGTGATGAGTTCCTTTGTGATCAATAGAACAGTTCTCTTCGACAATTCAGTCGAAGTCTTATCCTCTAAAACACTTTGGAGACTATCTAATATCTTGTTGAACGACTCAGTGATCACTTCTTTGCATTTTGTCTTCGCAATATAATGACGACACATTTTATTCAAGAGACTTAAGTCCCCCTCTATCGACTTTAAAAAAGTTCTTTCCCACTGAGCTGAGTTACTAT